TTATTAAATAAATAAATATATTTAATATTATAAGTATCATATAAATTAAAAAATTAATTATTTAAATAACATGTTAAATTTCAAAAAAATAAAATAAAAAAATTATACAAAAATAATTTTACTGTACTATTCTTCCATAAAATAGTTTACATTAAGTATTTTAGCAGCATACGAAAATTCGTCGTGGGTTTGAACTTTGACGCAACCGCCGTTATTGCAGCTACGAGTGTCGGCTATAGTGAGCAATTCGCCTTACATTCTAATGCTTGATTGCGACATGTTCTGTAATGATCCATCGTCGGCAAAACAGGCCTTGTGCTTCCATTTTGATCCGAAGTTGTCTTCATCTCTGGCATTAGTGCAATTCCCTCAGAGGTTTTGCAATATCAACAGCAACGATATTTATGACAGCCAGCTTCGATCCATCTTTTCGGTAATTTGCAGATAGTTAAATTAATTTAATGAATCAAAAGATTTTTTAAAATTTTTTTTAATTTATACTCTTAAAATATAAGTTAAAAATATTTTTTATCATAAATATATAAAAATTGATATTAATATTAATATTAAAATTAATATTAATATTAAGTAGGTGAATTTAATTAAACAATTATTAAATTAAATATTAATTTTTATTTTTTAATATAAATTTATGATAAAAATATATATTTAATATATTTTTAACTTATATTTTTGTACTAAGTAAACCCATTATATATATATAGATCCACTTGAACAACACTTCACAATTATATTGTAAGAGTCTTATATATATACATGTATATGTATATATTGATGTGGAAAGAATTTTATAATACGGATTAATTTTTTTTTCCTTTTTCTTTTCTCCTTGTTGCGGTGGGATGGTATGGTTTGGATGGATTGAGAGGGCCGATTCTATCTGGTACAAACTTGTATATTAAGAGGGAGGCATTATGCGGAAAGTTAATTCCAGAAGGTTAGAGTTATTTTATATTTTTATATTTTTATTTAATGATAAAAAAAAAGTGTTTTTTCACCTTATAATTTCAGCTACTAGAATGTTAAAATTTTGTTGAAATTTTAGTTGATTCCTTTTCTTTTGGGGGAATTCTTATAATTTCACCTTTTTTAATGGTCCAAAAAAAAAACAAAGAAGATAACTTTAATGAAGAAAAATGAGAAACGCGACAGACAGAGACACACATATATATATATATATATTAAATGGAGTCAATGGGCCTCATATCTTCTTAATTTGATCTTTTAATTATTGTACAAATCTCTGACTTTGTCCATAAACTAAAACAATTCTCAATTTAGTTTCTAAAGTTTTCAAATTCAACTCTAAAATGATTATTTTATTAAAAAATAATTCACATGTCCCTTACTTAACAACAAAAAATTGTTACTTCAAAATCATGTATCATGTTAGTAATGAGATACAGTAGCTATTATTAAATAGAGAGAATAACTTGAAACTAAATTTAAAAACTTTAAAGATCAAATCAAAAATTTTTTAATTTAAAAAATTAATTCAAAGATTTGTAGAATAGTTGATGAACCAAGGTTTAATTTTTTTTCTTTTGACATAAGTTGATTGGTTTTGTGGTTATGGTGTTATCTTCTATCTTCCGTCTTATTCAATATTATTTAAATGGATCTTATATATATATATGGACATGACCAGATTCCCTAAACGTCTTCTGTTTTGTCCATTAACAGGTATAGACCTTGACGAAGTCAAGAATACTTTTGGTTCCTCCATTGGGTTCATTAAATCTCTTGTTCAGGAACACAAGCCCAATCTGATGATCAATGACAGGAACTCTTCAGACACGTTGAAGCAACAGGCCAATGTTTTAGCCTCTTGTGCTTATGAAGATCAAACGCAATGGGGAGTAAAGGCAAGTTATTCATAAGCAAAATCACGCTAAAAAAAAGTTTAGCCAAGTTAATATCTATTAATTATAAAACCTTAATTTGAGATGAAAGTTTTGATTTCAATAGTTATATTTATCTAAAAATGCTAAGCAGCAAGCTTCAAATATAGCAAAAAAATCCTCTCTTCTCAGAAAAAGAAAGAGAAACTGAGAATTAATGATTTCTTTGCATTAAATCATTACAAAATAATAATAATAATAATAATAATAAAATCTCATTCTTTTCCTTAATTCCCCATTGATTAGGTAGGATTTAGGTATCATTCTGTGGTGGAAGATTACTTCACAGGGTTCATGTTGCACTGTAAAGGTTGGAGATCAGTGTATCTTAGTCTAAGGCGGCCGCAGTTTCTAGGAACTGGAGTCACAAATTTAAATGACCTGTTGGTTCAGGGAACAAGATGGGGTTCTGGGTTGGTTGAAGTAGGCATCTCAAGATTCTGCCCTCTCATTTATGGACCTCAACAAGGATTGCCTCTGCTTCAGAGCATGGCCTATGCAGAACTTGCATTTTTCCCTCTTCTTTATAGCCTTTCTCTTTGGTGTTTTGCTACCATTCCTCAACTCTGTCTCCTAAATGGCATCCCCTTGTACCCTGAGGTAAGCTCTAAAATTTCCTATGTTGTAGTGAATATTTAATATATATTTTTTTTTTATACAAGATATCACTATTTCGAGGCCGATTTCTCTTGGAACATGCATTCTCCAGCAAAAATCATTCAAGATTAACATGATTTTTTTTTATCATTTTAGCCCTACCCTGCAAAAATCATGTCACTAGAAATATGAATAATCACTAATTTTTTTTGAACCTCCACTTGATTCACAGGTTTCAAGTCCATATTTTAGTGTGTTTTTGTTAACCTTCCTATCGGGCTTGTTTAAACATTTACATGAGGTCCTCATGGATGGGAAGACAATCCAAACATGGAGAAATGAACAGAGGACATGGATGATTAAGTCAGTTACTGCCCATTTATATGGAAGCTTGGATGCAATTATGAAAAAGCTCGGTCTAAGGGAAGCCAGCTTCATGCCTACAAGTAAAATCATGGATGGTGAACAATTGACAACATACAAAAAGGGTCTCATTGATTTCCAGGCATCAACGATGTTAATTTCGCCGTTCGTTACCCTAGCAATCTTGAACGTGGTGTCACTGGCCGGAGGAATCATCAGAATGACGGTAGTGGGAGATTGGAGAAAGATGTTGGGACAAGTCTTGCTCTCATGTTACATATTGGTCATCAATTATGCAGTAATTGAAGGGATGGTTATAAGGAAGGACAAGGGGCGGATCGCGTTGCATGTCACTCTATTATCTGCTGTATTTTCAGTAATGTTTTTGTTAGTTGGATCTCTCATTCTAATTATGTTCTAGATGACATTTCCAAAATGGTTCAGTAGTAATAAATTGCAAGACAATTGCATTTGCTTCTATTAGAGTTTGATGAAGTATGTATGCCTTTAGTGAATGGATTTTTGCACTTTGATTTTGGTTATGAGTTTTTCAAAGATGTTATGAAAAAGAAAAACATAGTATTAATATGATAGAAATACAATCCCAAGGAACTGAAATACAATACAAAGTAATGGAAGTAATGCACCTGTGTCTAGAATAGGAACAGAGATGAAGAAAGAACCATGCTCACACATGAAAGCCTCTGTCATCTTTCTTGTGAAACAAGGAAGATCTAAAAGGCCTTCTAATATGATACAAAACTATGAAAACACTGCGAAATCAGACCACTTCAATGTCTAATTTGAAGGTGGTGGTGCGAGAGGGATGGAAGGAATAGTAGGAACCGTAGGAATTGCAGGAACGCTAGGCATTGGAGGAAAGGTAGGCAGCGTAGGCTGTGGTAATGTGGGAATGCTAGGAAGCGGAGGGAGTGTACGAGGCAGATTTGGTAGAGATGGAATTGTAGGCAGTGGTATATTCGGGATGGATGGCAATGGTGGCAGTGTTCCTGTGGGGAAAGTTGGGATTGCAGGCAGAGGTGGCAGTTGCTGAAGACGTCGAGCAGCTAGTCCAACATTCATGCTTGAGAAGAACAAAGCCATGAAGAAAGCCAAGACAAGGCTATTGAAAGAGGCCATTCTGTTGATTTTGGTAACTTGGAATCAAAGGACTTCTGTTTTTGGTTTGGTTGAAGAAAATAGGAGATGGTGTGGGGTTTTTATAGTTTGCAAGCATGGGCCTTGGCCTATCAGGTTGGTGAAAAAAGGCAAGACTTTCAACTCTGAATGTTGAGTTAGTTCATCACCCCCCATCTAGCTTGCATTGAATAAAATGCCAAAAAACAGAGAAATTGAGCATATAAAAAATAAAACAAAGTGTGGCCCAAGTTAAGGTCAAGGAGGGCATTAAGGTTTCTGTCGATTGGTTGGTTATCTAACACTTCACCATACCAAAAAAAAATCTAGACCCTTCAAACCAAATAGTAGTTTTCGGCCAACAACCAAAAAATTCAAATATAGGAAGTCAAAATAAAATTAGAGTTCTAGAACAGAGCCAGCTCACCGTTGTGTAGCCCATATCCACCATAGGCAGTGATTGGGCAGCATCCATAGAGCCACAATACTGTAGTCCATTATAGTCCGTCTCAATATCCTTTCAAAAGAAAAGACTTAGTTACTTAGGTTATAGGCTTGTAGCCCATTTTCTTTCTTAATCAAACCCGCCGCAATTCCAACTGGCAAATTTTATGGGCCAAACTAAACCCAATTGTCCAAAGTTTGTTATCCAAATGAAACTTAAGGGAACAGATAGATTTTTCTCTCTTTTTTTTTGGGTGGAATTTCACAGGACAGAGTTACAGAAATCAGAATCTGCCCCAAACCTAAAGGCAAAGGAAATAATCTAGGGTTTCCTTTGAAAATTGATGAGACATAAACAGAATCCCCAAAACCCATTTTGATCCACTTTCATAAGCAAGTGTTAAAAAGCAGAGAAGAGCTCAGATTTTAATGTGCAAAAACAGAGGTCAATAGGGTCTTAAAGACTATATATGAGTGGAACAGACAGACGGTACCGTGTTACCCTGCGGGTAAGTGCTGCAACTTAGGCCCAAGAACCTTATGAGATGGAACCTCATTTTAGAAGGTGATGGCTGATCACCTAATTGGCCAATACTCTCTCACTAAAATCTCAGTTAAATGGGGTTACATCTTTTGTCTATACCGGGGTTCTGTGCTCAAATTTTCTCTCACTTTCTCTGAAAAATGGAAAAGAAATCATGGGAGAATGCACTCAGATTTTCCTTCACCCTGAGATATGTAAATCAATGCTTTTTTTTTTTTTTTCCTTTTTCTCTTCTGAATGAAATGAAATTATATGCAGCTACATCTCTTAGAGGATAGCCATGGGCTGTATCTACCGAGGTTTTTTATTAAAGTTTTTCTAACGCATGACTTTAGATATATGTTAAAAGTATTTTTTTTACATTAATTAATATTTTAAAAATAAAATGAAATTATATGCAGCTACATCTCTTAGAGGATA